CCAGAGCAGGGTGCTTGTCACAGTCGATGAACCTGCTTTGATGCATCATAATGACTTGGAGTGCATAGTTGACAATCGGGGTCACTCTTGCTGTCGTTCATTCTCGGGTTTGGACAGGTCCATCACGACGCGTATCCTCCATTATAGCACCAGAGTATTTTCGCTGCCCTGAAAATCCTCTCGGCTCTGCCTGTTCATCCCTTTCCTGCCCCAGCAATTGCTATCTTTTTACAGTTTCTGCAGCTTTGGCTCAAACTATCTTCTCAATGGCAATCATTTCCTGAGCTGTTTGCCTCGCCATACCTGAAAAATCAAATCTGCATTTGAAAATGACCAAGCCTGTTCTTTGTGGCTATCGCCTCACCTTCGTATTCAACACCTGCGAGAACACCACAGTCCTGAGCAAATGTGGAGATGTGCCACACACTGTGGACACTCCCGGCCGCGCCAGCATCACCTACACCCTCCCTAAGTTCCTGGAGGGACCCTGCACACACGTATCTTCCTTATGCAAAACAGAGAGTGTGTAAAACTAAGTATGTGTATGTTGTGAGTTCTTACAGGGATATTTGCACATAAGGACAAAAACTTCAATTTACAGACTAAGTTTTTAATGGTGAAACTCAGACATCTAAAAAGATGCTAGTCTAATCGTGTTTTCTCTCCCCTTCCTGTCCTCCAGCCTACTCCCACCCCGGTCTTAAGGCACATCTCAAATCTCAGCTGTCTGAGACCCTGTTTCAATGCCATTCGCAACACAGTCAAGACAGGGGCCATTTTTTCCTCACGGTACAATTTTGTCTTTCTTTTAATACAGTTTCTACATGGAATTTGGACACTTTGGCCTTCCAGGAACTGAAGTCAGAGTTAACTGAGGTTCCTGCTTCCCGAATCTTGAAGGAGGGTCCATCTGGCCATCCCCGGAGTGAAGAGGGAGAAGATGGTATGCGGTTAGCATTCTTCCCTTGTGTGCCCATGTAGTCATTATCCACTTCTAGTTCTGTGCTTGGAGTCGGCGGCATAAAGTAAATGCCTGCCCAGGAGGGAAAACTACGACTTCCTTGGGAGCAGAGGCAGGGGAGGGGAGGGAAGGAGCAGAGAACCCCCTCGCGGCTCCCTGGCCAGGGCAGGTCTGCAGGCATCAGCCTGTCCCCAGCACCGTCCTCTCACGTCCCCTCACCGTCCTCAGACACGTCCTCTCACCATAAATGGGAGGCTGGGCTGGGCTGGGCTGAACAGGGGGAGGTGAGAGATATGCTTATCTTACCCACTCGATTGTCACAGAATTAACTCTACATGAGCAACTACTTTTTTCAGTAGTTTCTTCATTGCTTTATCTTAGCGACAGGTGTACACCATTCATCATCTCAGCACATGATCGGTCCCTAAAGATATGTTTTCTCAACTTTGACCATTTGGGAAAATTACAATCTGGCTCGGTGCCCAGTGATTATGGTGCCAGCCACATACACCGAAACCGGTGGTTCAAACCTGGCCCTGGCCAGCTAATCAACAATGACAACTGCAACAAAAAAAATAGCTGGGGGCAGCACCTGTGTCTCAGTGAGTAGGGCGCTGGCCCCATATACTGAGGGTGGCAGTTCGAACCCACCTCCATTCAAAGTGCAACAAAAAAATAGCCAGGTGTTGTGTGTGTTGTGGTGTTGTGTTACTACTAGTAACCTGTAGTCCTAGTTACTTGGGAGGCTGAGGCAAGAGAATTGCCTAAGTCCAGGATTTGGAGGTTGCTGTAAGCTATGATGCTACAGCACTCTACCCAGGGCAATAAAGTAAGACTGTCTCTAAAAAAATAAATAAATAAAAAATAAGACTAGGTGGTGCCCGTAGCTCCACCTTGGGTAGGGTGCCGGCCACAGCCACATACACCCAGTCTGGCAGGTTGGAACCTGGCCCGGCCTGGACCAGCTAAATGATAATGACAACTGGAATAGGAAAATAGGTGGGCATTGTGGCAGGCACCTGTAGTCCCAGCTACTTGGGAAGCTGAGGCAAGAGAATCTCCTAAGCCCAAGAGTTTGAGGTTGTTGTGAGCTCTGACGCCACAGTACTCTACCAAGGGTGACATAGTGAGACTCTGTCATA